ATATTGGCATATTAAAATTGTTGTTTTTTTAAAATATTATATATCGTAAAAAGAAAGATCGAGATAATATAAAATGTCGAGTAGTGCCTTACGTGCAGTAGTCGTTTAAATGTTCTGGAAATCTTACTCTTCTTCCAGAACACGTCGTTTTAGGTATATTTTCAGATACATTCGGAGTATCATCGCTAGTGTTGGTTGTCGGTTGAGGAATTATGAGTGTAGGAGTCGTGTTGTGCGATTGTACCGAAGGAAAGTAGACGTGAATAGGATTTCCTTCTAAATACGCTACTTTTAAGCGATCGATGCTGATGCTATCGTTTGTTCCGTTCTTGTCGACTATATAGTACTTAGATTCACGTTGAAGAACTTTGAAGGGTCCTTCGTATGATGATTCGAATGGTCGTCCATGCGAGTCTCGACGAACGAAAAAGTGTGTACTATATCGTAAGTCAGGTTGAACGAAAACATCAGTTGATTGAGGTCGAGTGGAAGCGGGTTTAACTGAACGCATTGCGTTTGTAAGCCTGTTCGTGTAGGAGGTTAGATCCATGTTCATTGAAAAGGACGAAGGATCCACAAATTCTCCTGGAAGTCGAAGTGTCGTTCCATAAACGAGTTAAGCCGCAGTGTATCCAATGTCAGCTTTCACTGCATTGCGGATACCTAGTAAGACAAGTGGAAGAGCGTCGGTCCATTGCGAAACGTTTGCAGCTGATAGTGAAGCTTTTAGTTGTTGGTGAAAACGTTCTACCAACCCGTTTGCTTGTGGGTGGTAGGCGGTCGTTCGGAAGCGAGTGCTTCCTAATAGTGTGGTCAGACGACGGAAAAGTTCAGATTCAAACTGGCGTCCGCGATCTGTAGTGATGGTTGAAGGGCAGCCGAAGTTAGCTACCCATCGTTCGACGAAGGTTCGGGCCACTGTTTCAGCAGTGATGTCCTTGATAGGTACTGCTTCTGGCCATCGAGTGAAACGGTCTAAGCAGGTTAAGAGGTATGAGTATCCATTTGAATCTGGTAAAGGTTCTACCAAATCCAGATGAACATGGTCGAAACGAGCATCGGAGTTTTAAATGAGCCTAAGAGACATTTATTGTGTCTGATAACCTTAGATTTTTGGCAGCTTACACAGGAGCGTGCCCACTCCCTCACGTCTTTATTCATGCCAGGCCAGCAAAACCGTTCTGCTATAAGCTTGATGGTTGCACGATCGCCTGGATGAGAAAGTTTGTGCAATGTATTGAAGACATTGCGTCGATAATGTTTCGGAACGATTGGGCGATCCCTACCTGTAGATTTGTCACAAAGTAAGGTTTCGTTACCTGCTCCCATCTGTTTGATGCGTAGTTTAAGGGTTGTGGACGATAACTCGTGCTGAAGATCAGTGTCTTCTTTTTGAAGCTGGGCGAGTTTAAGAAGGTTGATTCCTTGGAAACTGTTCAAGGAAGTTATGCAAGATAAGGCGTCTGCAACTACATTGTTTGCTCCAGAGATGTGTTGAATATCCGAAGTAAACTGCGAAATGTAGTCCAGTTGTCGTGACTCACGGGGAGAGTACTTGTCAGAAGGAGAGCTTAACGAGAAAATGAGAAGAGTGAATTCACGACCTTCAATATAGTGTTGGAAATGCCGTACAGCACAATACATAGCTAGGAGTTCCCTACCGAATGTGCTGTACCTTGATTCGGTGTCTAGCAACCTTCTAGAGAAAAATGCCAAGGGTTGCCAGGAGTTGTTAACCCATTGTTGTAAGACGCCACCGATTGCCGAGTTCGATGCGCCTACAGCGATACTAATGGGTGCTTCGGTGTCCTGATGTGCGAGCATTGTCGCTTTAGCGATCAGTTCCTTAACTGTGGAGAATGCTTTTCGTGCAGTGTCGTCCAGATTGATGGATTTCGCATTTCCACGAAGTTGATCAGTAAGAGGCTTCATAAGTAATGCGCATTTCGGTCTGACACGTCTATAGAAACTTACCAGGCCGTTAAACGTGCGTAATTGCTTGACGGTGGTCAGTTCTGGGTAATCCAGAATGTCCGCCACTTTGGTTCTAAGGGGTCGGATACCTTGAGCATCGATAGTGTGTCCCAGAAAGTCTAATGAGTCGGTTCCGAATTGGCATTTCTAAACGTTTACAGTAATGCCATGTTTTTGTAGTCGGTCGAAAACAAGATCCAGATGCTTGAGATGTGTTTCTCTGTCCGGACTTGCTATTAGACAGCCGTCAACATACGCGTGTACGAAGTTGAGACCTCGAAAAACGTCGTCTATGAATCTTTGGAATGTTTGGGCAGCGTTCCTTAGACCGAAAGGCATTCGCAAAAATTCATAGAGTCCGAAGGGAGTTATGATAGCTGTTTTCGGTATGTCGTCAGTAGCCATAGGTATTTGGTTATACGCTTTAACCAAGTCGATTTTCGAAAAGACAGTTGTACCTTTCAAGGTAGCTGTCAAATCGTGAATGTGAGGCAACGGGTAACGATCGGGAATGGTTTTTGCATTCAATCTCCGATAGTCTCCAGTTGGACGCCAATCGTTGCTGTCCTTTTTAGGGACCATGTGCAACGGAGATGCATAAGGGCTACTTGACGGTTGTATGATTCCTAAGTCTATCATGTGATCGAATTCGTTTTTCTCTAACCTTAGCTTTTCAGGAGCTAGTCGTCGTGCTTTAGAGAATACAGGTGGTCCTGTAGTCGTGATGTGATGTGTAACGTTGCTGGTTACACACGGTAGTTTCGGTTGAGCTTGTTGTATCTCAGGGTACTTATCGAGAAGTGGCTGATAGAGTGGTCTATCATATGCTTAACTGTGGCTGGGGATAATCTGCAACCAGTAAAAGAAGTTATGTAAACGGATAAATTAGTGTTTCCGTCTACTAGCCTCCGTTTGCGCGTATCGATGATCAGATTGTGATGTTGTAGAAGATCCATACCAATGATTGGCATAAAAACATCTGCAACAACGAAGATCCAATGAATGGGTTTGCGTAAACCCACGTTAAGGTAAACGTACCTTTTGCCATACGTAGCGATCGGTTTTCCGTTTGCCGCCTGTAAGTTTAGGGTAGATTCGTGAAGTCGGTCGTTAGGATTCGCTGGGAGAACGCTAACTTCTGCGCCAGTGTCGACGAGGTAGCGAACTCTCGTTGTCACATCTGTGACGAATAACAGACGGCTTTGTTCGCCGGCTACGGTTGCCGTTAACGCGTGCCGGCTTGGAAGTTTCCCGAATTGTTTTTCGAACCAGTCGGTTTCGTGTTGGGAAAATTGCAGGGTTTTCTGCAATTTCTGGAAAGCTTTCCATACTGGTTATGATACCAGCACCAGTCGAGGTTATCCGTCTCTCGTGGTCTAGAGACAGATCGCTTACGAGAAATGCTTCTACGTGGTGTGCGCGATCTCTTACGGTCGGTACGAAGATTGAGATAACGCGTGAGTGTGTGACATAAGTCGGTTATATCATTCTGAGTCGTGTGAGGCTTTTCTTTGACTGAAAATACCTCGGTAGTAGGTTTCGTAATTTCTAAAATGCGGTCGGCGGATGCAGCTAGCTCGTCTAATGCGTTGTTCTGGAACGAGACCAGAACTGCTTGCACCTGTTGGGGAAGTGTTGACAAGAAGAGTTGTTTGAATAGACCTTCGTCGAAAGTTCTTAGGCCTATTACCTCTCTCATCCGTTGCAACATGTCCGTCGCAGAACCGTGTTGCAGGTCTATGTTATTGAAGAGTTGATCTAACCTTTGTCGATCGGTTAGATCTCCTCGTTTAAGAATCGAGCGTTTTAAGATTTCGTAAGGGTCGGAAACATCACTAGTAAACATACTAGGTGTTACGTACCTGTTGAATTCGCGCGGTAGTGCCTTGACTACTGCGAGGAATTGTGCACGTGTGTCAATCACACCGTGCTCGTGGAAGTCAGCTTCTGCGTAGCAGAACCAGGCTTCGATGTTGTCGAGCCAGAAAGGCATCAGTTGAAACGAAGGTGGGGACAAAGTCTTAAGCTTGAGTACTTTAGGTGTCTGTTCAGTCATGATGAAGTATGAAGTACGATAATGAACGAGGGGAAAAAATATATATCCAAGAAAAAACACGAAAAATAATCACAATCTTTAAAAAAAGTAAAAAAAAATAAGGCAATGATATATAAAAATCCAAAAAGGAACAGACTCACAGTTGCAATTAGGTGTACCAGATCACGACGGTCTCACCAATGATGATGTCACAGGTATTCAGTGTTTGACAACGCTTCTACCAGTAACACCTTCTAATGTATTTCGTTCCCACCCAGAGAAATCAAAAGACAGAGTCGAGGAGATCGGAAGAGTATATTTGGCGATGACCAATATATCGGAATTCTCTGATCTAATCTGGCTAGCGATTGCGGTTGATGTTGAGCACGGCGTTACCACACGTGATCTGGTGCGGATGCCTGACCGAGCGCCTTCAGCTAGATGAATCCACTAAAACATATGGTTAGCATCCAATGTCGAAAACTTAGAGCTAGTTATTTTGGGGATTTATTTACCGCTACAAATGGAAAGGTCTCGCAATTGTCGTTTCATTTGAACCGACATGTTTATCTAGGTTGCTGACTATAAATAATTAAACCTATATAGCCCCAAAAAGACTTGAAGCTAATAAGATTTACCCAAAAGAAATAAACGATATTTCTCCCACATTGAACACTACAGTTATTTAGAAATGAAAATGTGGTTTACAGCACAACTGCCAGAACCAAACTTAACTTGAAATCTTTCTTCATTATTCCCTGACGGTATAATTCAAAATAACCACGAGTATTATTAAGCTTTCTATAACTTGAGGGAATCATCCCAGCATATAGTACACTTGCCCGATGTAATACAGCACAACAAGTTGAATAAAGCTTACAGTCACAGCAAAATTCGCGAAATTCAATAAAAACTACATCATTATAAATTCATTGTATACATGACCGTTGTCCCGGTCGATGATACACTTAGTTGATGTGATAATGTTGATCACATTTAATTTTCCGCCGACGTTTGTTTATTTCGACCAACCTGGATTATCTTGTGATTAGTAATAAGGAGTCACTATAATCCAAAAGGTTACTTCTGAAGTAAAATTCTATTTTCTGATTTCTCTGTGGTTTGCACATAATGTTAAGATATGCTGTATTGCGGTGCATCAAATCAATCGTAAGGCGTTGCAACTTCTTCGCCAACCAGGTGCTGAGGGTCCTGTAAGTTCATAACCTGTGTGATCACTGCACAGAATTCACTCTTCGATGTAACTAATATATGAATCCTGTGTTTTAGGCAATCCATAAATGCACGGAAATTACTACGCTCTGAAATGGTCTTTGGACGTCATGTTGGTGAACTTGTATTTTTAGTTAAACATAATTTTCAGGGTTGTGAAATGGTAGGTGAGTCGGGTTATCAACTTAGGAATTTGCCAAACAACCGCTCTAAGCGTAACGTAGGTATCGACTGTGACTCCAATACCTGTGTGCGTCAAGCTAAGCGTCCACGGCGATCTGACTCGACCTCATCGCATAAAGAGAACAATGGCCTCTGTTCGGCACCGAAAAACAGTTCCCCATCTAGATCTAGAGTACTTCCATTAAGGAGCATCCATCCAATGAATACAATAAATGAATCTACAAATGTCTCAACGCTTGTTCGAAGACTTAAAGTACCTGGAGATTCAAGTGAAACTACTACCCGGCTAACACGTTCGTGTAGTGTCAAAACAAGTCCAGTTGCCATTCAAAAACGTACTTTGCGAAGCAGTCACCGACGCAGCATTCAAACTACTCCGAATGCCATATTACAGGTTAGGCTGGAACGTTTCCCAGTTCAGTCTTGTTCTTGTATACAGTCTGACTCAGTCGTCGGTTCGTGTAGTAGCAGTTTGGCGGATGGATCACAGACAGAAACAAAAGCTTCAAGAGAGTTGCTACCCTTGTTCTCTCCAAGAAGGTTTAGTTCAGTTGGAAAAGATCAGGCAGCTAAGCTAAAGCGATTAAACAGAAGGCGCATGGAGTTCGACGTTCAAGAATTAGGCCAGTCTTTTGGCTGCGGTCTTTCTCCTGCATCCTCCGATTCACTACTTGTAAGTAAGAGCTTTATTTATGTGGTTTAAAATGTCCATTATCGATGTTATATGAGTGGTCAATAGCCTAGCCTAGTTACTGTATGTTAATTTCCACTTTGTAGTGACGCTTCAAGATTCATATCAGCTATTTGTCTTAAAGCAGAAAGTTTACAGGTCTACGTAATTCAGCATTTCGACTTTGTATTCACTCTAACCATATTTCTATATTTTACGACAATTGATAATTTTAGTGGATTATAAGCTTCTTGAATTAGCTACTTTCCCTTAATAATTTCTAATTTTCAGAATCAATCTGTAGTGGGTGATCCCCTGGAAAAATTATTGCGGTTATGCGGTCAAACTGAGATCAAGTCATTCGATGAATATTTTGACCACACGTATGATACTCACTTATAAGTTCATAATTTTGTTCATAGAATAATTGAAAGTATGGTGAAAATTGGCGAGGGTGTATATGGTGAAGTATTTCAGTCACCAAAAGGCAATGTGGTCAAAATCTTCCCTGTGGATGGAGAAAATCTTGTCAATGGTGAGAAGCAAATGAAATTTGGAGAAGTTTATCCTGAAGTATTCGTATCGCAGTAAGTTTAAGGTGTTTATTTTGAATCATCATTAGGAAGTTAAGTGAGCTTGCATACAAGTATCGACGTAACCGGTCAGTCAATTTTGCTCAACTAAAGAGGTAAATATTTGTACACCACCTCACTTCATTTTTAGAGCAACTGTTGTTCGAGGAAAACTACCTAAGGCTTTAGCTTCAAGTTGGAGAAAATATGAAAACCAACGGGGTTCAGATAACGAATGTCTGGACTTCTTACCTGCTGAACAACAATGGATGGTTTTAGAGTCTGAATTCGCTGGAGAACCACTTTCCAATGTACGAGTAAGTATAATTACATGGAATTTGCAAGGCTGCGTAATTGTAGTAACACATACGTCAACTGTATACTAAGTTCATTTATTTAGAATTTCTATACCGGTGTTAGTTATACTTTTTGTCTCCAAATCTGGCCAGCTTTCTAATCTCAGACCACCAGATTTTCTGGTTGTAACTCCTGTGACTCGGGGTATTTGTGTACTATCATCTTGCTCGCCGACTCAATGTTAGGTTTTATTTTGAGCAATCTGCCAAAGAGAGGAGTTATGATCTATAGTGTTTCTAATTTGCTGACTAGAAAAACCCACTTCACAGTACCGGTTACTAAATAGCGTTTTGGAATATACTAATCGTACTATCTCACCATTTAATGCCCACTAATAATTTTACCATGAATTTTTATCTTACCAAAGCACCACTAACCGTCAGCACAAACATCTGTTACTCATAGAGCATAGACCACTGACTAGAAATCACCAACCTACTTTGTTCTGGGATCTCAGTCGTTTCCAAACGCTATTCATTATTTTGATTTATGCCTCTAATTCTCGACACAGTATTTTATCTGGCATCCGTTCCCTTTTACCCTAAGGATCCCAGGTTAGGACTTGCCATCTGATGCAGTTTGACAATTTCCGTAGTTTGGTCTATATAGCCCCGACGTCTTTTCCTAATTTTCTCTTCAGCTGGAAGGTGTTTCTCTGCTTAAGTGAGGTTATTGCTGATGTTTGCTCAATGGATATGAAGTTTATTGCGCGGAAAGCTGTATATAAATATCTGTACCTTTTGGGTGGTAGTTGTAGTACTTCAAGTTTCATCTCCGTACAGTAGAACTATCTTAACGTTTGTATTAATCATTCTGATTTGGGTGTTGTCTGACCGTTGTTTTGAATTCCAGACGTTCTTCAATTGTAGAGATGCTCCCCTTGCTTTGTCAAGTTATGCATTCGTATCTCCACCAGGTCCCCCGCTTTTATCAATAATGCTGCCCAGGTACATAACAGTTTCGATCTCTCCCAGAGCTTCTCCCTAAATTGTGATTTGGTTGGAGTTTGTTGTGTTGTATTTCAGGATCTTGCTCTCTTCTTTGTGAATGTTGAAACCTGGTGCTGCAGGGGCTGCTGCTACACTGGCTGTCTTCGCCTGGACCGGTTGCTGTGTATGGAGTAGAAAAAACTAGAACATCTACAAAACCAGTCTTATAGCTATATCCAAGCTGTCAACTGAGATGTGGACGTTTTCACAATCCAATCAACTACCAAAACAAACAGGGAAGAGTAAACAGCGTCGTCTGACACTGGTCTTCACTTGGAATGCATCTGTTAGTTGCCTTCTATGCAGGACTGCATTGTAGTCTGTCGTAAGAACTCTATGATAATGACCATCTTAGGTACACCAGTGTCGAAGAGGTTCCATAATGTTCTCTTATCTGCCCTGTCAAATGCTTTTTCTTAGTCAAGGAAGTTGATGTTTAGTGATTAGTTCCATTCGATTGACTGTTCGACACTGATCCGTTGTGTCTCAACTTTTTCGGTACATGGTTGATCCGTATCAAAATTGATCGTCCACTGGATTTTTCATTCGGTTCAACAACACTTCGTTGAAGATTTTGTTTGGTACTAGTAGTAGTGTTAGGCCTCCGTAGCTCCACTTAACCGGGTCTCCTTTCTTTGATTTCCTGAGGTATCTCTCTGTGTAGTCTGTCGGTGTTTGTCATCCCGCTCAAATCTTTCTGAAGAAATCATGGAGCATCATTGCAGTTACCTCTGTATCTGCCTCCAGTGCTTCAGCTGGTATGCTGCCAGGTTATGATGCTTCCCCTGTCTTGATTTATTTGATGAACATGCTGGTTTCTTCAATCGTTCATGGAGTGACATCTACAGGAAGGTCTGTAGGTGCTGCCTTGATGTCCGATGAGGTTTCGATAGAGATCCATTTCTTATGAAGATTCTAGGTGTGGTCCAGAACCTCCAAGCATGTTGAAGTTAGTGCTTCTTTAGTTCATTTTCGTTTGTTCTCCATAGTAGTTTCTTTTCATTTAAGTAGATTTTGTAAGGCCTCGGACTTATTTCTGAGAGCTATTTTGGATTCTCTGAGTTTGTTGGTAGCTCTAAGGAAAGCTACACTAGACGTTTGTTATGCTCTCTGTCCAGTGCTTCTTTAGCTTCAGTTTCAGCTTGGCCACCACCCGGTGGTGATCTGAGGCTATAACAACTCCTCTCTTTGCTATGTCTTCCATGAACCTTCTGATGCAAATGTGATCGACCAGATTCTCTCAAATGTGGTCCAGTGAGACCTATAAGCATTTTGTTAAAAACACAAATTTGCAAATCCCTCACCATTTTATTTTTATTTCCCAGTCAATATCGTCCCATGATATCTCCATATATGATGTCCATTCCGACGTTGGCGATTAGGTCTCCCATCAGTATGGTCATTTCCTTCCCTAGGTACCTCTACAATCGACTGCAGTCTCATTAAACTGATGTTTATCGCCTTCACTGCTGTCGTTAGTGGCCCATAGCACTAGGTGATATTCATTGTAATCTATTCTTTCTTTTTTTGAAGGATGATTCGAGGATCATGGATCCATGAGATTCGCATCCCATAGGTGCTTTCCGCACTTCTTTGGAGAGCATCGGCGCAACTTCTTATGTATGCGAGGCGTTTTCTTCATGACCAGAATACAACAGCACCTCTCCCGCAGCTTACGTCAAATGGGTTTTACTTGTTTCAAGAGTCGACAGGTTATATCTTATCATTTCTGCCGCTACTAGAATGATCCTCCCGGTCTCCTACATTGTGCGGAGATCCTATGTACCTATATTAACTGTTGCTCTGGTTGTCAGGAGCGGCATCGGCCTCGTGATTTTCTAAGAATCTCGGCTATCGCCATAAGGTGTGATAACTATTCAAAATGAAGAACTTCCAACTCCTAAGGAAAAGTTTAGATGGTGAAACTTTTTTTCTGGTTAGCGTTTTTTGAGCAAGGTTCTTTTCTGCGAGATGGGGTTTCTAGCCCCATGCCCAGTCCTCCTTTATCCGGGCTTAGAACTGGCAGTAAATCTAGTAAGGCCCCAAACGAGGTTGTTGACACAAAGTGAAAAAAGGTTAGAAGAACCAAAATAATTTTAGTGGACTTCACTTTCTTTGATACTCACTATTCCCAATTTGAGGACCGACTTTCTCGTTTTCACAGTCTCAAATCGCAATGATTTACATTTATTTAGAAACTTGTACCATAGTTTACTTACTATTGCTATTTATATGTTTCTTAAAGCTGAGTGAAAATATTTGTCTTGTGGTTACATATACAGTTTGAACTCAACATCAATAGGTAAACAATACTCTTGACTGTGCTTGAACAGTATCCTGGGAAGTAGAAGTTTTGATTGAATCAGGTGTTATATATGTTAGTACAGATCTCGTCAGTAATTTAATTAAGTGGTAATTTGGATATTACTTGTGTTATACGCAGAATCTTTCATCACAGCAGTATTATCACGTGAAAAATGTACTCCCAGCTGTTATTTGTGTATACTCAGTTGATCTTAGTGATTTTAGTACTATATGCTTTTCATCGATGTTACATTTATGTGTTTATGAAGTTCAACACTTGTCGTGAAGCTCGTTCTGTGATTGAACAGATAGCATTGTCCTTGGCTGCCGCTGAATCTGCTCTTCAATTTGAACATAGAGACTTACATTGGCATAATGTATTGGTCCGACCTACTAGACAATGGAAACTGCGCTATCGTGTTGGGGGAGTGAGTTATGCCGTTTTCACTGAAGGAATACAAGTTACAATAATTGATTTCACAGTATCCCGTCTTTGTCATGGTACGGATTATTTTTTACATATTTCTCGATACGCATATAGAATGTTTTGTTCTATTCACTATTATACTTGGAACACTATCAAAGGATTTTTTGTATCTTATTTACTCCAGGTAGTAGTACCTAGTCCATTTTAATGAGTATTTTTATATCATATGAATGTTTTTAATAGCTATAGTATTTATTTATTTGAACATATATTGGTACAAAAGAAAGACAGGTTGTAAAGAGGTAAACGAAGGAAGATGAGTATAATAAAGAGAAAAACAATAAGTGAATAGAGCAAAGAATTATGGAAAAAGCAGTTCTACTGGGAAGAATACAACCAGGTAAAATTCTCTCAGTACAAGGTCCTCTCACTTATATGGAGAAAGTAAAAGAAATAACATCAGGATCGCCACTGACCGTTATGAGTCATGTCTGATGACATGTCAAGCCAATTGTGTTGCACTCTAGGACCTCAACAAAAGAGTTGTAAATAATCGACAGACACTAGTCCTGTACAACTTCTTTTCACAGCATGGGACTATCATAACCCGACTAAACAGGTTAGTTTGGATGGGACACATGGTTTCAGGAAGGCTTATTCGAAATTCGTATTCAGTGGTAGCATTCAACTGTTGACCAGTTGGTGACCTGATTTCCTTTAGATAGGAAAGGAATACACAAAATGGGAGTGAAAGTAAATAGATAAGCGATGGAATCTAAAATAAAAATAGTGCTACTAAATAGTTGAATATAAATTATGGGGGTATTTCCTTAAGTCGTAGTCATCATCCACGAGACAGTTAAGCAACGTCGGGAGATACTGTGATTTGTGGTTTGGAGTCAGACTTTTCCAACTCCCTTAGATGTCTCCTGCAATATTGACCAGTCTGGTTCAAGCACCGGACATTCGCCTTCCATCCTCACTTTTTCAGTGGATACTCCAGTCACGAGAAGGCACTGAGGGGAAGCGAACGTCCTCCACCCTCGGCCGTTTTAGTGCATTTGGGGGAAAAGCCGTAGGTGAACCCTGGTCCAGCCCAGCTATAGACGCGATTCTAGACAGAATAGTTAATCCCTAATTTTACACGCCACTTTACTATTAAAGTAAAATACCGAATAAACGCAAACAACAGTGAGGACTAGAGATAAAACAAAGCGTATATGCTAATTCCCGTGGATCACATGGAACTTGTCCTTAATATATGATTTTTCACCAAATAGAATTCAAAGTTAATCCATATAAAGATCAAGTCATACTAACTAAAGTAGTGAAAAACTAGTAATGTATTCTGCACCAAAATGGATTTCGTTGTAACCGTTTGTTACTTTTCAGGGTTTCACAAGTTGACTCATTCACCAAGCACACTAGGTGTGAGGGTTAATCATCTACCGTATTGCCCAAACCTAAGTAGATGGTGAGGGTTTCGAATCTGGGACTTACTGCTCTGCATACTATTTAATTATTCAAGAACTAGGATAGTCATTAGGCAGTTCGTTGGGTTGACTTGAGAATGTTAATATACATAAATATTGTTATGGCGAAATTTAATACAACAACCTGATAAGAAATACTGTCCTTTGATCTTATTGCTAGTTCACTTGAAGCTTAAATGGTTTGACTCTACTGAAGGTAGTGATAAGACTGAAATAACCGTATGATGTACATATTGTCTAACTTTCTCGCATTCTTAATCCCATTAGTAGTACTAAGCGGTATTTAGTTTCTGAAAAAATGACTAAAGTTCCGCAAAAGCGTTCCACTTAGTTATATTTCTCACGTTTAACATTGAATCTTGCTAACTATTGTTGTGAGTTTATATTTTTGTTGTTGTATACATTCAGTATAAAATATTACCACAATCGATTGTCTCTAAAAATCTCATACTCTGGGATTGGACCTTCTTTATTGTTAAAAGTTATTTATTAAATTAAAAGCAGTAAGTTTCCTTTGACCGGAAACAAATATGGAGGCAGATTTCCAATGGGATGTTTTCTTTTGGAACCGTGAATGTTTACCATCGATTATTTTCGAATATTCGACATCTCACACATCACAAAACAGTTTCTTACTACTTAGTGATCAGACGGCATTATATGGGCCACTAGGCTTCAATTTAGCATTTACATTACTTCCTTTTTCCTTGGGTAGCTTGAAAAGAAATTACATCGCTTCTCGTGTACTTCTGATTTTTTAATTTTTAGAAGGCAACATTGTTTACGTTGATATGTCAGAGTCACCAGAAATTTTTGAGTGTGAAGGGGATTATCAATTTGACATTTACCGTATAATGCGCAAAAACAATGGGTATGCTATAAGTGACATATTTGTTTTCATACGTTTTTTTTAAAAGTGAAAATCATTTCGTCGTATATTTATATGCATAACTTCCCAGAGTTAGTGGGCATGTAGGCTTCGTAATACTTTCTTAGTATCCAGTGATGGTAGCCATTAATGCATTTGTTACAATTGGATGAGCACTCCACCCCGCGATACATCTATTTATAAACCTTCAGAAGTCATAAATTAGTGGAAACAGACTAGTTATAAACCATTTGATTTGGGAGCTATACACTAAACGTGTGCTAAAAACTCAGTCCCAATGATCCATAAATTTGTTACGACTAGGTATTGTTTCCAAGTTACGTCTCACGTCTTGAAATTCACCGTATATATGGTGAACACAAAATATTTCAAACATAACATAGAAAAGACTAGATATTGGAAAAGTGAAGATTCCGTGATTCAGCGTCTAAAGGGGATACAAGGAGTTGATACACTTGGGCCATTACGAACAATTCTGAGCCATGTCACTCGGAGTCTGCACTTGGGTCAGTCCGAATATCGACGGCTTAATGGAATCGTTCAACGTCAAGGTAAGTAATAGTTGAACACATGTCCCAACCACGTCAGTTGAAGATTTACTACCTCTTTAATTGATTTGCCATCCTCACCTGGTACCATATTCCCAAGTCAGGAATCGTCTACTCGGTGGTCCCGAAATACACGGACAATACTTCGCATACACGATTTTAAGCCATGTCATTCAAAGTCTCTAACCATTAGTTACGATAATCACCCAGACCCCAACCAGGTAGTATATAAACTACTGTCAATGACTACATGAACTGATGCCACCTTTTGATTTGGCCGCCCCCAACTTTCTTCTCACCTACTTCAACACCAGAAAATATTGCGATGATTGGCTATACATAATACATGTCCCAACCACGTCAGTTGATGAAGATTTACTACCTCTTTAATTGATTTGCCATCCTCACCTAGTACCATATTCCCAAGTCAGGAATCGTCTACTCGGTGGTCCCGAAATACACGGACAATACTTCGCAGACACCTATGGTCGAATACCCGTAGCCTACGAAGATCTATTTTTAATGGCCATGTTTCACACCCATAAAGTAGAACGAAGCAAACTACTGCACTATAAACTGGTTCTTTGGTTGGCAAACGAATACCTTGCCTACTCCACTAGTGGCGCAAGTTGGCTAAGACCAATCGAGCTCCCTGAATTCGTACCAAGATTTCGTCAGACACCAGACCATCAGGAACAATAAAACTTCCAAGATAATTGAAGCGGTCGATGTACTCAACCACTTCACTTTCTATCATAAGTTCAAGCGCCGATGCAGGTCAATCCTAAAGCAACATTCTGCATTTTGGAGGTGAGAATCTCATCTCAAACATGCTTGCATTGTTGTTTAGTGGTCAAAAGGCTGCATTTTGTCAGCGTCTGCACCAAGTAGAACTATATCGCCTGTGTACTTTAAGTCAACAAGTGAATCTTTTAGTAAAAGATCGACCTTTGGGAAGTCTGACAATGAGTGCGTTAACTCTAAAGGGATGTATGTGACAAAGTTAAATAAAAGTGGGGAAAGCAGACAACCCTGATGAACACTTGAAGTTATCGACTCCGATAAGAGTTCCCCATAGATTTCGACTCGACCAGTAGTGTTAGAGTAGAGAGCCTGCACAAGGTTGGCGTAATTGTTTGATCAACTCTCAATGACAGACAGTAGTAAAGAGCCTCACAATCAACAGTCAAATGTTACCTTAAGGTCGAGGAATATAGTTATTGTCGGACGTCGAAAAATATATCTATTTTCTAGAACCAATATACTTAAAAGTTCCAGGAGTATATCTACCAGGCCTTCCTGGTCTCCCTCTCTTTAGATTGCCTATAGCATTTTCAACCTCACTAAAGGTTGGAGGACCTACATCAATTCACCATTTAGACTGCTTGGAGACTGCGTAATCGAAGTGTGACTGAAGGTCAGTTGCAGTTACAGTTATAACTTTTCCTCATTATCATAATACTAAATATCTTATTTATTTTGTATTACAGGAATGATTGGCGCCCCTTTCATCCAAGTTCCAATCTTTATTGGCTTCATTACCTTATGGGAAAACTTTTAAACGAAACATCTTATCCCAGACGTGATCCTGATTCTCAACCTGTGGAATCTGAACTGCGCGCATTATATGACATGATACTAGCAGGTGATTATAATTCTGCCACACAACTTGTGAGCTCAAGTTTCTACTTCGATGCTTGTCGAATCGGTTAACAGGAACTTGACGAATTTCCCAAAACGTCTGAGATCGTTCCTATTTAGATTCTTTCCGCCTTCTAATCTTTCATACGAAACTCTACCGTTTTGTTTTGATAAATGATATGTGTAAAGTAGAACTCTTCCCATTCACATTGAGGAACGTTAGCTTTTTGAGAACTCGTATTATGAAGTTCGATAATTTTAGAGCAATTTTTCCGGTTCCTTGACATTTGTTTTATGTTTGTGGTTAGTTTTGGATATTTTTATAGATCTCGTTTCGAAACCGCTTTTGTATGATCAAATATTCATTTGTCAGGTTACTTTCGTTTGGTTACGAGTGTTAGCCCTTCCGCTGACTTCCACTTATCATGCCACAACTGGATATTTGGTTTGGCGGCTTTTCACTCTGACCTTATGGAACGGCACACATTTTCTTGCTACTACTTGAAGTTAACCAACTATTTGTACTTCCTTAAAATACAGCAGATCAATAGAGGCGTACAACGCCCACTGAGCCGAAATTCTAGTCAATATTTTTCCTAGGTATCAAGAACACCACACGGTGCCAACCGAATCAGGAAAATAACGAGTCAATCGGTAAACTCATCAAGAAGAGGTGGGACGACTGAACCATACAAACTAACTTAAAGACCTAGAAGTGGTAATCCAGCCTATAGTAATGCTGAACATAGAGAATATTGCGAAATTGAAGCGTCATTTGAAAACATCTACTGCGATAGGAACTGAAGGTGGACGAAACACTGAACTCTGTACACAGTCAAGACATCAGCAGATGTTATTGATCAGCGTCTTGTCAGTTCCAGGTTGTTTCACTGGACCAGACTTCTTGTTGCCAGTAGATTTGATGAGTTGAAAGAGCTTGCGGTAGTTATGATACGCAGCTGGAGCTTCTGGTTCGTTAGCATACTCCTCGCGATCAGCAGAGGCATGCTGATGTGCCATGACGAGTTGTAAGGAGCCTGTATAAACCCAGAGCTAATCAGCAAGCAACTTTTCTGACCATTTCCATGAGGTCATACAAATGTAGTCAGAGGGCCGATATCTAGCCTTTAACTTGTCCCAGTTTGATATTCGGTTGCAATAGGAGCTTCGGTCGACTCGTTTACATCGATATACTTAGAACGATGAATCTGTAGACCACTGAAGCGTAAAATACGATTAGCACAAACGAGATGGTCGGAGTCCAGATAAGTACTCTATAAAGAGCTGAAGCCCTGTACACGACAGCGGTAGCTGGTTGTAATGCGGTCAGTGAGTCCAGACTCGACATGCAGAGAAGGACGACAGCGATGACTGTGCCGTTAGTCAATGGTATCCAGAAACAGGCTGTAGCCCGTAAACTCGCAGTAGACCTATGTCCAACAAGTTGCTGATAGGCAACCAGACGACTCGGTATCTAGATGCCTGGTCTGTTCATTCGAACCTCCCGTCAATACTACAATATTTGTAGAATGTGCTTTCTGGAGATCACTTAACTGATGGTAGAATTAATCCTTGATAGCATTCTGGTTTCAAACTGTCGAGGTGTGGGTAGTACCGAGAAAAAACTCTCACTTCGATGGCGCTCCCTAATCCGGCGATACAAATGACCACTTATAGGGTTCCAGCCCATAGGTTCTACCTCAGCCCTAGCGTTTAATGCGGCAGCAAAATCAGACGGAGATGCCACATGGTTCCACGGTGAATGTACATGAAACAAGCTCTGGGAATCGGCAAATGAATAGTGAGTATATAGTGCTTTAATAAATTTGAGCAAGTTTCAGGCAACAAACATCGATTTTAAGGTGTCCTAAAGACATAGCCAGCCTTACCTGTTGTTCGATATGCAATTAATTTGAGAATATTGAAAGAGGTCAGTTCGAACGATACACGGAGTTTCAGAAAGGCTGATGTGTAATCAGTGGCAGCTTTCGACCGGTTAGTGGTGCGATAGTTTAGATTCCCACCATAATCGAGCCGTTGAAGACTAGGAGAGTATACAAGAGTGGAATGGAACAGAGATATTCAGTAAAGTAGGTTGTCGCCGTCATATAATCGTGAGAATTCATATTGAAGTACAGTTCTCAGTTGTAACCATTTATGTGAACCAAAATGATCTCAGGTGGCAATACTGGAGTAGGCAGTTTCTTTGGGGTGCTTGAGCGATTGACCTAAAGATCCAATCCAAAAGGCAGTGAAGCAACGTCAAGATGCTACCTCACGGTAGCCAACAACCAAGGATAGGTTAGTGCGCCATTTGTTGGGAATTAGGCTTACCCAACTCTTCAATGCAGATTCTGAGTACCAAACAGAAGTGTAACTCAAGTGCAGGGTCGGTAGATGATTCACAAGAATTGGACCAATTTTATTTGCAATTCTGATGTCTTTAATCTTTACCGTGTAAACCATCCGATCATTTGAGTGTTAGCTTAATTGTGTCTGAAGGCTACTAAACCGGACTTATCATCCCCACTATTTGATTGGAATATCAACTGTAAATATAATCCAAATACTAACTGCATAAACTTTCGTATCTGATTCATTTCTAATTTGATTTGAAAGTACAGATATCAAGACGTCAGTGGTGAATGTCATAGGATGTATTACAAGTTTGATACTTCAAAGCTTCTGGCTACAGATTCAACCTAGAGGACAATGAAACAGAAAAGTACTCTTCACAAATTATATCACGTCCATAAATACAACCAACATTAACAAATGGCCTAGTCCTGTGGTACTCCATGAAAATGATACCAAAATTAATTTAAATGTTAGTAAAGTTAACGTTTCATGAATAATCTCAAGCTGCCAAAAAAGTCCCTACAATGGAGAACCCAATGATTGTCAATCTATGGTCTGCTGGAAGATCCATACGAACATAAAACATTGCGGTTATAAACGTATCACGATAATTGTACCAGTGAATTCCACAGACCTTGTGACGATCAGTTGAGAGTTAATATAAAACTAGTCATGAGCAACCTCAAACACTACGAGAACAAAATCTTAGTAATCCGCACGCAATCTACTTCAACAAAATAGTAAGCAGTCCACCGTCGCTTTTCATCTTGGATCACCATGTCTAGTATCCAGATGAGACGAGATGCCGCGAGCAATACGACACATATCAATGTATGTACCGACTCGGAAGACCCCAGAGTTACGACTAAACTTCAGAATGACTAAAGTGAAAGCATTCGAAAACATAACTTGTGTCGTTTTATTGTAATAAGTTTTTCTGCGGCAACCAAATGCTTAGCTGAAAATGTAGGATAAGAGAAAATAAACTGAGTTAATAGTACATTCCGTAGAATGAAGCTAAGGCTCAGTTGAAAGCGGTGATAAAAGCTTATTAAAAATCAATCACAGGGGAGCTAAAAAGAAAGTTTTTGATATTATTCAAATGTAAAGTACATGTTAGAATAACAAGAGCGCATAAGAAAAACGATCAGCTGTATTTTGTTTACCACTGATCCAGTGAACACAAATGGAGTCTTCGATTAAACAGTACTTTGGAGCTTCCCAGATCCGACAGTAGAAACAAGTGAAAAGGAATCGGAGTTCATACTATAGCATTATCATGAATCGGGATGGCCTATTCATTTGGTCACGTTACTACGCTGGAAGAGCAAAAGCTTTGCCCTTAATAACTAAAAAATCACGTGGTTAGATAGTCACATACCTCTAGTTATGTACAAGTAGAAAAAATCGCAATATAGTAAAGTTTGCAAAACACCCGCAGAGATGGCTATCAAATCGTAATAGTTCTGGACATAATACCGATATATCCAGTTGAGGATGTACAGACCACGGTAAGAACCAAGCGAAAATAAGTAGTGAGAAGTGATGGTTTCTGCTTCTCCAGTTTTGCTAATAAGAAACAATTGCGGCAGGATGGCAACTGATTCCAAATATATGGAGAAGGTCCACAACAACTATGGTAAGGTTGAGCACTATATATTACGACTTGCCTCAATAATTTGAAAACGATGATTGACAATCAATGCTAGTAGAGCGCACGGAACAATAAGGAACTCCAAACGAAACGTGTCATGATTTCCATCATATGTAGCCTTGAATCTAAAATATATTAAATACAATGTCGCATAAGATGAAAATATGAAGATGATCTTTGCGAGAGAATTGTATAGAGACACATAAGATGTCAGAAGATCAACATAACGTGTGGTGAATACAATAGCGAATGCAATTTGACTACGTCCTGACAGACCTGAAACGTAGCGCTAGTTGCGTTCATCGAACTGTACCTGCACAAGATCGTGTTTTCCAAATCTTCAGTAGTAAAATTATAATAGCTGCAAAATGTGAAGCATCTCCAAGAAACCGGAATATATTCATGATAACAGCAATCTGGTAAGCACGACGCCAGGCTAAACTCAACCAACGCTAAAACCAAGTTCTGCTGAGATGGACCTGTTTAAACACATCTAGTAACCAACATCCAATACTTTTATGAGGTGCTTGAATAAACCAATTGATTTCTTTGAACTCCCTTGTTGTTGTCTCAGCATGTTTTCGGGTCTTTGATAATATCCGGTGGTCTGTGGCTTAGCCACAACAATACACTGATTCTGGTCTATTTGGGATATGTTTGTGGGTTAGTATATCTTGTAATCTGAGTATGTGAGTTCTTCTGAACTCAGTAGGGCTTCTAAGGCCAGCCGCTATCATTTCATCAGGTGAGAGATCGGTTTATTGCAGTGTAAGCAATAGTAAATAAAAATTCAAGTACAGAAGTGTGAAGAAAAATGATGGTCGAAAAAGTAGATTAATTAATCAATTAATGATCCACATGGTGTGAACAGACATAAGTGCAAAATCTGTAGGTAAAGATGGATGATTGGAACAAAGGTAAGAATAAACCGATGCTATTTGATTGTGATAACGGTAGGTTAGTTACGAGATGCCCATCAGGTACAACTAGTCTAAGTAGAAGATGGCAATCCATGGATGAGTACGTATTTGTCAAGTCTGCTCTTAAAACTATCCTTTCAGAAGTCTGTGATCATCTCAGGAGGGAGAACGTTTCATATAGTGATAATTTATAACGAGTAAAAGGTGGGAGTAGACCTAGACTTCTCGTCGTGTAACGCAGTAGTAAGGTTTGGAAGGCATATTTGTGCAGTGACAACTTGCCAGTATGAGCTCACCCACCATTCTCACATGGCTCAAATAAAATAATCTGAAGTGCTAGGGTCCACCTTCGTAGGACCTGTTCACTACTCCCACCACCTACTTAGTTCCCCACCTCTGTATCTGGTCTACTTTTATGTCTTTTTAAAGGGAAGAACAATGACGTTGTGGACTTCCAGGTGAGGTCTCGAGTACTTCTAGGACAGTATCAGAAATAGTTCTGGGGGAGGATGCCAAGTCTCCTCCGAGTTATTTAAAGAGCAACATTTGCTCTGGTTCCATCCTTGGTGAAGCTTGAGCTGTAGTGCAAGATCTCTGATTTGCAATCTTGTGTCGTGCCTCATAGGGCTGGTTACGAGTAGATTTTCATGGTATGTGTAAGTTGTTTGCATTTTGTAGGGTTAAACCATAATGTAACATTTTAACATGTTAAATTTGTTTCGGGGTCCTCTGGTAGTCCAGACGAACCTAAATCCCTTCATATGGACCTCTGTGTCTCGGTATCGTCAGCTTGTGTGACGGTGGATGACCTAGTTTCATTTACGAGTTCCTTAATAAAAGTTAGAGAAAGGATAGGTCTAAAAATGACCCCCTGTGAAGCCCTCGATGTTGAGACCTACTGGCTAGCGTGCAGCTAGATACGGAAAATCCGGTTTTTAGGTCGTTTCGAAATCGCTAAAGGAATGAGCAGGTGAAACCCTTCTCTGAGACCTTTGCTTTAACGGGTGCATGTGGCACTGTGTAAAATGCCTTGATGATGTCAAGAAATGTCTTGTGGACTGGTACCTCTTGTTTTCTACAGGTTTTCCAGCTTTTTCATACAAAAAGAAGGCTGGATATCCAGGATCCTGGTTCTCTGATCCTGTGTTGGTCCTCATGATTGTGTTCTGTCCATGTGTTACCTCATCAATGATGTATCGGTCCTCTAAATGTAATGCGGATAGTTTGTAGCAGTCTCGTTCTTCCCCGACTCCTTCTGTGAAGAACTCAGCGAGAGTAGACTGTCTCCATTATTTTGGAAGTTGCCATGACTTTAGTGATTTCCTGAACATGTCACATACCAGTGGACTAATGGCTTTCACTTATTACTATAGGGCTACAGGGTGGATGTGGATGGACGCATAGATTTGAGTGTTTTTAGTACTTACCCGGGAGTCCGATGAATATGCTACGATATAGCAGTGCTAATAATTTTATAACGAAAGTGATTGTATCAAAACGACTAAAGGGGGAATTCTTCGTTCGGCTAAGAAGCGTTTAGAGTCTTCAGAAGTTATGTATTATCGGGTAAATGATCATCAGCTATCTATGTGGATTAAGTCGACGAATATTAGAAACTCCATCTTTCAAATTCTAGATGCCAATGATTTCAGTACACACAAATAATAATCAAATACAATAACAAAAACCAAGTGAGTTCGTCTCGACTTCCGTTATTGGTTCTAATGCTAACGACTATATTCTAGAGAATATAGAGTCTATATATCAAACAGCCATACGGATACATTATGGAGCTACAGAAAAGACGTATAAGATATTACAGAAATCAAGTAGGCTTTGAAGGTCGTGGCATTTGCACTAACAGATGATTTCTTACGTAGATAATTCCACAGTTGATTTAGTTTTCGATCCTCATGCTCTTGCTAAAACATGTTGATTTTAAGCGGTTTGCAGACACTATGATGATTGTTGAATAATATTTGTGATTCTTGTTGTATATTTGTTGGATGCTGTTGTGAAAAAGGTGCTGACTTTCAGAGTTTCGATGATGATATTAATATTGTTGCGTTCTTGTCGATCATATAAAACTCTGACTTGGAAAACTTATAGGATTCTTTAGAGTTTTCGTCGAGTGGTTCGAGTGGTTAATAATTACATAAAGGAATTTTTACTGTTACGCAAGACAAATAAAATGAAGATTTCAATGGATTTATGTCGAACGAAAGATTTAATTGGCGAACTCGAAAAGTTTGTAAGCTGTTTTAGACAGGAGTTTAGGTCCATATTCAGTGAAAAAATCGGGGATCTGTGAATGTCCCTGGAAATCCGAGGGTATGCTTCAAACGAATCTGGGTCCAACTGGCGTTTTTTCCACCCTGCCATAAATTCCTGGTGAGACAGGTGGAAGTGCATTATTTCATACATGTCAAGAGATAAGAACGTCTCCTTGATTCTAAAGGGAGCATAGCCATTCACTCATATATTTATTTATATTGGAAGAAGTATTGCTAAGCAATGAACTAGATGGTCCGTTAAAAAATCAGATGATGCAGGTTGTGTAGCATACTGAAGATGTTGTGACGACAATGTTCTGTTTGAATTGGATCACCTCTGCCTCAATTTTCAGTCTCTGTAGATCATGAGCGTTAAATTAAACCTTGTATTTATCAACCGGCTTATAAATAGTATCTCTTACTCTTCAGCATTCACCCCTTCATTTTCTATCATATCATCCCCCAACCTGAACAATAAAAAGAATATTCAGTGAGTGCCGAGAGCTTACGCAAGCCTACATCGAAACTTCTTTGTTATTCGCCATTAAACTATGAGGAACAGATTCCCGGCAAGCGCAGTAACGCTATAAACCGGTCCGAAATTCTAGTTGATGATTTACTCTCCAAATGTTGTTTTTGTCACCTATTAAATATCAGTGTGATTGCCAACGACTTATACAAACAAGGTCTGGTATTTACATAATCGGCTGTTAAATAAAATAGAACCTTGGAACTTCTGTTTACTCGCTTAATTATTCACTATCTCATTTTTTACTTGCAAGTATCCGTTTGTGTTCATATTTACTATTATTATTATGAATGGTGCCCAGATACATCAGATTTTTTTCGCTCTCTCCTTTCTACATAGATTTTGTTCCTGCTCATCCAGAGTTTTTTTTAGCTAAAAACACACTATCTTGTATTAGACTTATATAAATGAATTGAGTTATCAATGCATTTTTTCTCTACTATGTATATATAATCCATGTCAATTGATATTACACGATCGCTTCTTGCAATCGACTAAGATATTACTGGATAAACCCTTATTCTACTACCAAATTGTATTATATTAACAATTTATCATATCGTTTACACTTATTCTGTTTCACAAATATACCAAATTATTTACGCATTTTTGTTTTCTTTCCCCCGCTTTTTTTTCTTTTCGACATTCTCCTAAGTACTACAAAACCTGTCTCAATATTACGAAGGTTATGAAAACATCAATGAGACCTATCTAGTAATTTTATCTATGGAGAAACCAGAAAAGGATTCTTCACGGCTGTTAATAAGTTGTTTGTGAGTAACAACGATAGTGTGTCACATGGTAAGTGTCCTTGCCTGTACCACTTTGTTATATTTGTAGTTCTGGGGTTTTTGACAGTGACTCATGTTGATGATATGTGTCCTCTTTTTGAAGCCAGAGAGAAGAGTTTGCAGATGGGTCTCATTGAAGACTGTTCACAGATTTTAACTGTCACAAAACGTCGACAGTAACATTGTCCTGACATATTAGATATTCTTTTTATCTCTCCTTATCCTTCTAAACATATTTAATTTCTGATTGTCATTTGAAATTAATGGTGACTTTCATAGCATCATTCTTAATTATTATGTTATATTTAAGTCGTCGCTGATTGCTGCGCCGGAAAAAAACCGCTGATCACTTATACTCGGAACGAGAGATCCCTGCAATTCCCGTGATGAGAAAGTAAGAACACAAAACTGGTATAAGTGATGATTTATTAGCCCCTAAACACGACGACGAACTATGATCAAAATAGTCTAAAATACACTGGTTTATATATTGATTAATAATGTGGATGAAATCACATATATGAAAAATACTTAGAGTTATTATTATTAATGGATTTATTCAATATTATATTTTGGTACAATATAGAATTCTCAGTTATAACAAATCACTTACTGAGTATAGTTTATGTGCATTAGAATACAAGAATATCGTATGTTATTTCATAATAAAATATCATACGAGAAAAGAAAACAAATACTACGGTGAATGATCATCACATTGAATTAGAATGGATGTAATGTTGAATAAGACTCATAATGAATAAATCAATCGAAAATTGATTTTTTTTTTCTTCCTATCATATCAGAGATGCTATTACATAGCATACGACTTATCAAAACATCTTGTAGTTGGATAAGCTAAAACATAACCAAAACACAGCTTTAAGAACTATTAGAGAACTTTATTCGCTTTTCAACTTTTCACTTTTACATTCAATAGGTAAGACTTCAACTGTTCCAATAAATTACTGGAATT